AAACTTTTAGTTTAAAAATTATAAAAACTAAACAGCCTACAGTATTTTTACTGTCTTTATTTTACAGTTAAAGTATGTTTATTAAATAAAGTCTAATGTTACAACTAATCAGGGATCCCTTTAAACGTACTGCAGCATGTTGTATAAAATATTAATAACTTGTAAATTTTTAATAATCAATAATTTGAACATTAAAGAGTTTSTGAAAGGCATCTTAACGTAACACGTCGTGTTTGTGAGGGTCTACCGGGCCTCCAGATGTTCCCTCTGTCCTCCATGGAGTTGCTCCAGGTCTGTTCCTGACTCTGGCTGGTTCCCCACCCCTGCTCCGGCCCTGAGGTGGCCCCGTCTTTTCTTGAATCTCTTCCTCCAGTCCAGGCCTGCTTCTGGCCCGGACCCGCTGCCCAGCCCTGCTCCCGGCTCATCGTCCAGACCTGACCTGGTCCAGGGTGGGCTCTGTCCCTGCCTGGCATCCACGTCTGTTCCTGACCAGAGTGTCCCGCTCCGTCCCTCCCAGAGCTCCAGACCTGGTCCAGGGKCCGGTCTYTGCCTAGACTCCAGGCGTCGGGGCCGTGGTCCCGTCTGGAGTTCCAGCTCTGGTCCTCCTGGCCCGCCTCCGGACCCTCAGACCAGACACCCTTCGTGACCAGTCGTGGGGGCAGCCTGGCAGTGGGCGGAGCCACGTAGCCAGGATCCAACCCATTGGACAAASTGCCTGATGACACGACGGAACAACTGGTGGTTGGATAGTCCACCATGGAAACGTTCTGCAGGTCCTCATACCTGAAAATGATTCAAACCTTTTCAATGAAACCTCAAACTAAAAGAGGAGTGTTTACTCTTTACTGTTGTTGTGTTTATATACTTCAAAAAAGCTTTTGATACTATAGATCAAGGCTTACTGTTAAGTAAAATGGAACGACCCCCTGCTGCATCTACACAATATGGTACTGCACCATAGTTTYATAATATTTAAACTCAGTAGTTCAGTGATTACAATATTAATATGATTGTATTTTGACGTTTTACTGTAATACTGTCTTTATGTTGTCCTATTGCTGTAATATATTGCACTTAAGTGTCAATAACTGCATTGGCAAGGTAAACATTTTCTGTATACATACAGTCCAATCCCTGGGATTGTCCTCTGCCACATCTCCTATAGTCTCATGATGAGCACTGTGGGCTTTCATGTGGGAGATCAGAGTTCAAATCCAGCTACTGCAGCTTTAACAAAAATCTCTTCAAACTTCATATTGTCACACAATTACSTTAATTACAAACACCTGCTGACGTGACAGGCACAAGCTTGTATAGAAAACACATTTGAAGTTGGTCAAAGTTCATTCTGAAAGTCCAATGCTCCTGCCTACATTGTCCTACAGCTGCCAGTGTAATTTCTATCTGTAAAGGTCCTGTGCCAAATGATTGCTTGCCTTTTGGTACCTGTACAACTTGTAGGTTTTGAAATATTAATGTTGAAACTTTATGCCGAATTCATAAAATGGGAGTCAATGGGGCCTTGTAATGGTCCAATACTGCCCCCCAGCTGAACTCAACTTGGTACTGCACCATAGTTTTTTTTATTTAATCTCAATAGTTCAGTGTTTACAATACTAATATGATTGTATTTTGATGTTTTACTATATCATTATCTTAATATTGCTCTATTGT